ATCGTGTTCAATTGTTCTCACCTTTACCAAGGACTCAACCTTAATGAGCAACTACTTCCTGGGCCAACTCTTGGTGCTTCCCTTTTGGGGGTGCTGTTGCGGTTCCGTGAGCATGCTATCGCCATCAGTGGAGACATTAAAGGTATGTTTCACCAAGTCCGCCTTCTCCCCGAGGACAGATCCTTGCTGAGGTTTGTGTGGCGCAACCTAGCACGAGACCATCCCCCCGACGTTTATGAATGGCAGGTGCTTCCATTTGGCACTACCTGTAGCCCCTGCTGTGCAACATTCGCTCTACAACGTCATGTCAAAGACCACAGCCAGCCCGGTGAAGATGTGCGGTTCTCTGTCGAGCAGTGTTTCTATGTAGACAACTGTCTGCAGAGTCTCACCACCAAAGAAGAAGCGATAGCCTTGGTTGATAAGTTACGAGCACTTCTCTCTTCAGGAGGTTTTGACCTTCGTCAGTGGGCTAGTAATGAACCAAGTGTCATAAGTCACCTACCAAAGGAATCTAGATCCGACAGTAGTGAGCTCTGGCTGGCCCAGGATAAGTCAGATACGTCTGAAAACACACTTGGACTCAGCTAGAATACCCACAAGGACACCCTGGGTTACAAACACAGACAGTTAGAGTATGGGGTGTTGACAATGAGAAACATCTACAAAGTGCTAGCATCACAATATGATCCGCTTGGATACATATTGCCATACACCACAAGTGCCAAGGTGCTACTTCGCCATTTCTGGGAGAAACAGCGAGAATGGGATGATCCCCTTCTCCCTCAGGACCTGAAGCAGCTGTGGCTAGAGTGGGAAAACGAGCTACACACCCTGCCTCAGATTATTCTACCCAGACCCTACACCTCTACTGATGCCGAGCTTTCAGATGTTACCAGACAGGTACATGTTTTCTGTGATGCATCAGAGCAAGCATATGGCTCAGTTGCATACCTCAGAACTGTAGATGACCATGGTAAAGTCCACCTCTCCTTTCTCCTGGCTCGCTCTCGAGTAGCACCTAGGCGTCAGATGTCCATACCCCGACTGGAGCTTTGTGCTGCAGTTACTGGAGCCCAGCTGGCTAAAATCTTAAAAGCGGAGCTCACACTTAAAGTAGACAGCACCATCTTGTGGACGGACTCGACTACTGTGCTGACATGGCTACAATCAGAGTCATGCCGCTTCAAGGTGTTTGTGGGCACTCGAGTAGCCGAGGTTCAGGAGCTGACAGATCCACAGTCATGGCGGTACATCGATTCAGCCAGAAATCCGGCTGATGACATTACCAGAGGGAAGACTTTGAGTGACCTAGCTGAGCAAAATAGATGGAGCCAGGGACCCCCCTTTCTCCTCCAGGGCCCAGAGAGTTGGCCAGTTAAGCCAATAATCCACCCTGAAGAGGAGACCTCTGAACTAAGAAAGGTAAATTTCTGTGGCACAGCCTCAACAGTGGCTAGGAGTTCTACTCTGGCCGAACATCAGTGTAGCAGCTGGAAAGAGCTTCTGGAGACTACTGTGGAGAATCTTCATGAGGCAGCGGAAACCAGAAGTGACTTAACTGCGGAAGACTACCGCAAAGCTGAGTGCCATATTATCACTAGGATACAGCAGGAGAGCTTTCCTGATGAGCTGCGGGTTCTTAAGAGAGGGAAGTCTGTACCCACCAATAGCAGACTCAGGGCCTTGTCCCCAGAACTGGATGAATCTGGAAAACTCATCAGGGTTGGAGGGAGGTTACGACGTTGTACCGAATTAGATCTGACTACTGTGCATCCCCTAGTGTTGGATCCAAACCATCCTTTCACCAAACTGCTGATTCAAGATTATGACAAGCGCTTAGGTCATCCTGGACCAGAGAGACTATTCGCAGAAATCCGACGGGCATTCTGGATACTACGCGGAAGAGAAGCCATACGTCGTTACCAGCATAACTGTCCTGACTGCAGACGATGGAAAGCCAAGCCGACAGTTCCCAAGATGTCTGACCTGCCTGCCGCACGACTTCGGCTTTTCAAGCCAGCGTTCTATTCAACTGGGACAGACTGCTTTGGACCATTTCAGGTCAAGATAGGACGACGTACTGAAAAGAGGTGGGGCATAATTTTCAAGTGCCTGACTACTAGAGCTGTACATCTAGACATCCTGACTCACCTTGACACAGATTCTTATCTCATGGCCTTACGAAGATTCATCTCCCGCCGGGGTACACCTGCTGAGATTATTATTTCGGACCAGGGAACCAACTTTCGTGGGGCAGAGAAAGAACTGCAGAAAGCTGCTACTGAAATGTCTCCCAACTTACAACAGATCCTTGCCAAGCAACGGATAACATTTCGTTTTAACCCCCCAGGTTCCCCCCACTTTGGTGGAGTATGGGAACGAGAAATCCGCTCTGTCAAGACAGCCCTCTACACCACAGTTGGTGCTCAGTCTGTAACCGAGGAGGTTCTCAGGACAGTTCTCATTTAAGTGGAGGGAATCCTGAATTCAAAGCCCTTGGGCTATGTGTCTTCCAGTATCGCTGACCTTGACCCTGTGACACCCAACCACCTGCTGATGGGGCGGCCAGATGGATCGTTGCCTCAGGTTGTTTACCCTGAAACTGAACTTTTGAGCAGATGACGCTGGTGCCACTCCCAGGTCCTAGCAGACCATTTCTGGTCGAGATTCATCCGTGAGTATCTCCCCAGTCTTCAAGTCAGACAGAAGTGGCATGCTACTCCGGAGGACCTGGTGGAAGGTGCAGTGGTCATGCTGATAGACCCACAACTTCCACGAGCAAGTTGGCCTATTGGACGTGTAACAAAGGTACACCCAAGTGCAGATGGACGCATAAGATCCGCTGATGTGCAGATCAAGGCCAAGGTCTACACTAGACCGGTGGCACGGATGATAGTCCTCC